TTTAGTTTGAAGCAGCAGGGCTCTTAGAACTGCAATAATTAAACATCACCTGCATGTACAAGTCACTGGAATGCAACAGTCAGCCTAAAATATCAACTGCTACCTTCATGACTTTTCTTGTCTTCTTGGAGAACCAATCCCTTTATCATTATATAGTGCCCCCCCCCTCTTTATCCCTGATCATCTTTCTTTTTCTGAAGTTGCTTTGTCTGTAATTAATATGGGTATTCCAGTTTTTTTGATTAGTGTTTACGAAGTATATCTGTCTCTATCCCTTTACTTTTTCGGGGGAGGTACCAGGGATTAAACTCAGGGGCACTCGACCCCTGAGCCACATCCTCAGCCCTATTTTTTATTTTATTCAGAGACAGGTCTCACTGAGTTACTTAGCACCTTGCTTTTGCTGAGGCTGGCTTTGAACTCATGATCCTCCTGCCTCAGCCTCCTGAGTTATTGGGATTACAGGCGTGTGCCACTGTGCAGAGCTCCATCATTTACTTTTAATCTGACCTTTATATCTAAATTGTGTTTCTTATGGACAATACATAATTGGATTCTTAAAAAAATTATTTCTGACTACCCCCCCCCCCCTTTTTTTCCCCCAGGGCTGAGGATTGCACTCAGGGCCTTGCACTCGGCAGTGGGAGCAACTCCCCAGCCCTCCTCCTGTCTTTCTATTGCTTATTTAAAGCACTCACAGTTAAAGTGGCTACTGATGTGGTTAGAGCAACATTTACCATCTTTGCAATTATTCTTTTATTCACTGCGTTTGCACTCCCTGCTCCACTGGTCTTCTTCTCCCCCCTTCATGCCTTCAAAGCAAATATAGAATTTTGGCTCTGAATGTCTTTCACATGGAAACCAAAATTGGAGAAATATGATTGAAGGAGAATTTGAGAGATAATAGCACCTCATTTCTATTTTATCAGCATATTACCTATGATTAGTCTTTGTTTTCAAAAGAACATTGGCAGGTAACAGAGTTTCACTACTTGAGATTTTTAAATGATTCTTTTTCTATTCTTGGTGGGGCAGAAATAATGGGCTTTTATTCTCTCCAGGGACTAAATTACATGTACAGATAGTTTTGACAGTAGCTTTGTGCAATGTATAATTGTTTTTATGACTTATATCACAGGGAAACTGCTTGCAGTGTACCACATAAATCTTCTTCTTGCTGTCTTAGTGATATGATTGTCAGGAATGAAAGGATAAATGAAAGGAGCTGCGCGGTTTTAATTTTAAACCTAGTTTCAATTAAGTTTGTGGAATAAGCGGGTCTGTGATTCACGCTTTATCGAACAGTGGGGACTAGTACTTGGTTTTTGCACAGTTCCTTGGAATTGAAGGTAATGTTTGGCGAGTCTTTTCTCTGAGCACAGAATTTCATTTCCAGGAAGCGTCCTGTAGATGGCGCCATTGCCGCTTATCACAGGGTGAAAGGCCGGCTTACTTAGGTGGTCAAGCTTTGCTAAATCATTTGATCATAGTGGGTCCAGGACAATCTAGTTTTTTGTTTTTGTGTGTGTGTTTTAATAATAGTAGTAGTAGTAGTAGTAGTAGTAGTAGTAGTAGTAGTAGTAGTAGTAATTACAGATACTTGCTTCAAATAGCCAAATATTAGGTGTTTCCTTATTTTGTAGCCCTTTCATCCACTGTCTAGCTCCTGGTATTACAATGACTCAAAACGTTCAGAAATCACTCCCTCATTTGGCTTTCCTGAAGCGGGTTCTTCCATCTCCCCCAGTCTCTGAGGCTCCTTTCTGTCTTCTGTCTCCTCTGGGGCCCTGGTCCTGAGCTGGCTCCTACAAAGGAAGCTTCTCAAGATACCGTCCAGGTCTTCTTGTCCCTCCTGTGTGCACTCTCCTGGCAGACGCATCCCTTTCTATGCGACTTCTCTGTAAATGATGCCAAGTTTACTTTCCCAGAGCTCCCCTTTTTCTTGCCTCACATCTCAGTGACCCCTGAACTCCTTTGTGAAAGGAGACCCCAGCATCATCATGCAGAAAGAATCCTGGAAACTAACCTGGGACGCTAGACCAGTCCTGGAGGGACACTGCCTGAACACAGTCAGCACGCACAGGGTGGCACTTAGAACCACACTGAAGTTCCTGGAGAGGACGGGAGAGACTAGAATACCCCCAGCATGTGGCATGAGGTTCCAGGCTATATCTCCTGAATTTCAAAGGGACAAGTGATGTCTGAGTTAGAAGCACAATTTTGGAGAAATGCCCAGCCCTACAGTGCTGTTTTATTTTCCCCTGGATATTGAGGGTTCACGGTTTCATAAAGTGTACGGTTCCAGAGATTCATTCTCCTCTTTTCTTCATGGAGTTGGGCATCAAACCCAGGGCCATGTGCATGATAGGCAAATACTTTACCACCAAGCGGCACCTCCAGCACTTAGAGATTTCTTAAAAACTCCGTCATGATCCTTAACACATTTCTGAGAGCTATAAACACACAATTCCTAAGTTCTTAGCACTAACATTCCAGTGTTGCTATTCCCGGGTATTGCTGAGGCTGGGTAGATAAGGATGTTTCATCCTTAACATATGGGCGTGTCATACTTGATCAACACCACCCCCTCCCCCAATCCACTTAATTGTCAAGTCCTCAGTTCCCTGTCTCTGTGCTTTCCTTTCCATTAAAGACCCTGGTCTATTATTATTAGTAGTAGTAGTAGTAGTAGTAGTAGTAGTAGTAGTAGTACTGGGGATTGAACCCAGGGCTTTGTACATTCGAGGCAAGCACTCTACCACCTGAGCTGTCTCCCCAGCCCTCGCCTGCATTAGTATTCTACTAGCAGAGCCTCCTATTTATTTTCTGTACCTGGAGTTTCCTTTCTATCACCGTCAGACTCAGGTACTGTATTAATCTTTCTAATACATAGCTTATAACACTTCTGTGTTCTGTCTGAAACCTCAGTGCCTTCTGGGGGTCTCTGATACAGCAGCCCTTCTCTTTGTTATTTAAGGTCCCTGACTCTTCTGCCCCATTCCTGTCCTCAGTTTCATGCTCCAGGCCAACTGAACTCATCCCCTCCACCCTATGGCCCTGCCTTTCCCCTGGCTGTGCTACTCTCTGTGCATGTTTTTTTTTCCTGCTGCCTGGGTCACCTGATTCCTCCACCTCTTCTTTCCAGTCCAGTTCACAAGCATCCCTGCTCTATGCAGGGCATCCAGTTAGCATGGCTGGAGGCATCTCTGCCTCCTCCAGGCTCCCTCGGTACCTCTCATCCCCGTCATAGTGACTTAAGTGCCTCAGCTCTGGAATGGGAAGTCAGGGCCTGACAGGTGATTTTCCATGTCTTATGCTAGCAAAGCCCCAACGTAGGAAACGGTCATGTTCTTAGAAATGGAATCAAGTCGATATTTCACAGCAGTTTGTTATTTAAGTGATTTTCCTAAAGAGAGTAATCTAACATATTTGCAACACCGTGATGGTCACATTGCAGGTGTGGGTTAAATTGGGCTGCACGATTAACAGTCACCTCCGTCCCCTGAGGAACTGAGAGCTGTGTCAGGTATGACAGCACGAGCTCTCAGAGTTAGAGCCACCAAATTAAACCACAGAGCCCAGGGTCAGAGAGCCCTTCCCTCTAGTCATCCCTGAGGATGGGCTGATTGTAACTCCATTTTTTAGAAAAACTGAGTTCTAGGAAAGTTAATGAGCCCATTTCTCACAGGGAAGAGGCTCTGGAGCTGAGGCAACCATACTCAGCTCCTTAGCTTCTAATTAGTTTCTAAAATTATCATTCCTTCTACTTATTTTTATTTGGAGGGGAGTTTTATCATTTAATTGATTTAGATAAGTTTCCAGTGACATCTAAGAGACACTTTGGTATTTGTAGAGGCCATGGGTCTAGAGAGGCTGGGTGGTGTGGCCTTGTGACCCAGGCTGTTGCTGGTGGCCCGCAGGAGGACTGCATTGAATTCTGCATTCCAGAGTATTTTAAAGGCATGCACTTTGACTGTCACCAGTCTTAAACAACTGCCCACCTGGGTCTGGGGAAAACAAGCAGGTCACCTTTCCAAAGTGGCTGCTGAAACTCATGCCTGCCCCCAAGGTGTCCATGTGTCCTCAGAAGGGTGTCATTCCATTTGAAAAAACAAATGAACCATTTATGACAAAGCGCAATAGAGATGGTTCAGTAATGGGGGCGATTAGTTTTTACCTTAATCAAGTATCAGTTCTTATTATGAAATTTATATTATCATCAATAAAGTTGGGTTTTATCAGCCTCCAGAATTGAGGATCTTCCATAAATGTTTAGAAGACTTTGCTCCTGAGTTATATTTTCCTCCCATTGTGATGTTTCCGTTATCGACACCCCAGGCCAGGGGTTCTTATGACTCCAAAGAGCTGCTAGGGAATGTCATCTGGGGTTCTATCTTGATTTGGGGAATATATTGATATCTGGGGGTCGGCTATGAAGTTTCTTTGAGTGAAAGCAAACACTCCACTGTACGAGGCATTACTCCTGTGACACTTGACTCTCTTTAGAATAGTGATCACTGGAACCACCTGTTTACCTTGCATTTACCACTTCACCAACATTTGCCAAAGGTTCTGTGCTGATAACTGTCAGAAATACCGAGCGAGGTGCTCACATTTCCAGTAAGCTTTAGGTTATTCAAGATAAATTAAGGGACCAAAAGAGGATAACTGCAGGGTACAGTTTATAAGGGGGTGGTGCACAAAATACTATATTTACGTGTTCCTTTTTTAGGATTTAAGGAGCTACAAAGAGCTTAAAATTTCTAATTCTGATCAGGTGGAATTATTGCTTTGATAGCCCCACTGAGCGGGACGTCTCTGAAATTGGACTCCCTTGGCTGGTGGGCACAATGGCTTCTCTCCTGCTTTTGGAACTTGAGGGCAGACATTCATCTTGATGAATTCCCGAATTTACAATCTGAATGCATTACATGTTTAAGGCAAGGAAGTAAGCATTTTATAAAGGATTCTATCTCTGTTTCTCCTTTCTTCCTCTTTAGTCCACCCGCCTGACCTGATCCAAGAATGGTCAAGAGGAAGAGAGGAAAAACAGGTAGAATCCTTTGGTAAAGAATTCTGCTTTCTTGTGGAGCATTAAAAATTGAGCTGGGCCAGATCCACACATCCTAGACAATCACTGAACTTCTCAGAACAGTTCCCCAGGCTTAACTCTGTTCATAAACCATTAACCGATTTGCCAAGAGCTTACAGATAGGGAAGGGGACCCCAAGCAGCAGACCATGGGCTTTGGGAATTCCCTTCCCACATATGTTCCTCCTTCCTCTTGACTTGCCCCAAGTGCCACCCCCTCCCCATCCTGGCTCTCCCAAGCCTCCTTCCTGTTCACAGTATCCAGCTTTCCTCTAAGCACAGAGGATTTCTATGGCAACCAGCTAAGATCATTTAAGGTCCTTTTCTGTCCGCATGCCAGGTTAAGTATTAACTTTTAGATTAACCTCCCACTTGTTTGGCAATTAGGTTTTTCCCCCTCTTAACTGTATCAAAAGCACTTTGAGGGCTGTGGGGAGAGGGAGTGCTTGCATTTTCATATAGTGGAAAGCTTGGGACTTGGATGTGGGCTGACGGGTATTTGTATCTTGGCTGCAGCACTTTCTAATTATCTTCAGAGGGCTACACAATCTCCTTGAGCCCATTTTCCCCAATTCCACGTGAGAATTGTAAAAATTTAATTCTGGGAATTCAAACAAGGTATGGAAAGAACCTAGGACACAGTAGGTGGTCCATCAATAGGTGCTCTACTGTTATGTAGGAACTCTGCTTTTTATTTAATTTTTTGAATCCTCCATAGACACTTTCATATGCAGAGGCAGCATCTGAAGCATTGACAAAGATCCTCTGATAACTCAAGCGAATTGAGTTTGAAAGGTCAAAGTCAATACATATAAAATATATTGAAAATATACACCCCTGACTAACAACAATGACAACTAAACATAGAAAAAGCACATGTGGTAGGATGTTAATAAGTGCTAAATATAGATGATGGGCATTTGGGTTTAATTCTTTCCACTCTTCTGAATTAAAAAAAAAAAAAACTTGGAACAAAAGATCAGATAGTAAAAGCAACAAGATTATTTTATACTTTGGGAAAAAGAAGGTTGATGCATGTTGTGGTTCAGATGTGAGGGTCCTCCAAAAGCTCACTGTGAGACAAAGCAAGCATTTTCAGGGGTGAAGTGATTAGATTATGAGAGTTGTAGCCTAATTAGTGGATTAATCCATTTATAGGGATTAACTGGGTGGTTACTGTAGGCAGGCAGGGTGTGGCAGGAGGAAATAGGTCACTGAGGGTTTGCCTTTGGGGTTTACATTTTGTACCCAGTGAGGGGAACTCTCTCTGCTTCTTGTTGTCATGCCCTGAGCTGCTTTCCTCCTCCACACCCTTTGGCCATGGTGTTCAGCCTTACCTCAGGCCCAGAGATGGAGGTGTCCATCTGCAACTCTGAAATCACGAGTGCCAAATAAAACTTTTCCTCCTCTAAAATTGTTCTTGCCTGGTCTTTTGGTCACAGTGGCAAAAGGCTGACTAAGACAGTGCAATATTGATTTTTTTTTTTTATTAGGCACAGCAAGTACATGCTGCACTTTGGATCTGGAATATCTACCAAAGGTCCATGTGTTCAAGGCTGAGTCACCACAATGTACTATTAGGAGGTAGATCGACCTTAGGAGGTAGGAATTAATGAGAGGTATTTAGGTAATTAGGCGGCAACTCTGAAGGAGACTCCTTTGGTCTTTCTCTCTTTGCTCCCTGGCTCCTGACATGAGAACTTTTGCTCCATCATACACTCCTGCCATGATGTGCTGCCTGACAACAGGCCTAAAGTAAGAGGGTCGTCTTGGTCTGGAATATCCAAAATGTCAAGACAAAATAAACCCTTTCTCTCTCTCTCTCTGGTACCAGGGATTGAACCCAGAGGCACTTAACCACTGAGCCACATCCCCAGCCCTTTTTTATTTTTTTTATTTTGAGACAGGGTCTTGCTAAATTGGTCTTGCTGGATGCCTTGCTAAATTGTTGCCATCCTCCTGTTGCAGCCTCCCAAGCTGCCAGGATTACAGGCGTGTGCCACTGCACCTGGCTAAACCTTTTCTTTTTATGAATTGATTATCTCATGTGTTTTATTATAGTAATGGAAATCTTACTAATACAGTACAGAAATTTTTTTTGACATTAATTTTTATGCTTTTTTTGCTTAAACTAATAATAACTAAAAAGCAATTTAAAAGCATCACCTACTATCACATGTATAAAATTAATGTTAAAAGGTGACAAAAGCCAATATGAAAAACATTTAAAAATATAATAAATCTAATTAAATTAAATACACCCTCACATGTAACATGTAAAACTTGATACTGCAAGGTGAAACGTAACCACTTTGTACATTAGGATCATCTGCTGGATTGTTTCATGGATTAACCACCAGGGGACACTAGAGAGTAGCATGCTCAGGAACCACACAGCAAGAGAGAAATTCAGACCCTTCAACCTGACACCGAGAAGTGTAAGTCCCGGAGAGTCACACTCATTACTACACCAACCCAGAGGTCTGGGGCCATGGATTTCAGCAGATCTGTTTGGTCTGTTGGGGAACATGCCTGACTGCAGGGGCAGAGCTGCCTGGAGCCAACGCAAGTGTGAGGCTGGTGTTGACACCTCAATGTGGCATCTCAGACTCCCTGGAGGCTGGGCTGAGGCAGTGTCAGAGCTGACAACTCTCACAGCCGCTCTGCCGTGAGCTATAAGCACGGGGCAGAAATGGAAGATTCTTATCTGGGCTTCTAAGCCTTTCTTTTTTTTTTTTTTTAAGCCTTTCTTTAGTGAAGAGACTTGTTTTTAATACATTCTTAGTGGCACCAGCACATTCAGAAAAATATACATATTGAAGAGCTATAGAAAGCATATTTAGAAAAGTTATTTAGAAAAATTATTTCTATTCTTAAAGTACCATCCAGGTCAAACCCTTTATGTATGTATATAGGTTGAGGATCCCTTATCTGAAATGCTTGGGACAGAAGTGTTTTGGATTTCAGAATTTTTTTTTTTTCAGATCTTGGCATATTTGCATATACATAATGAGTTGTCTTGGGGATGGGACTCAAGTCTAAACATGGAAATCATTTATGTTTCATATATACCTTATATATGTATATATCCCGAAGGTGATTTTTTTGCAATATTTTAAAAGTGCACCTTGTTTTGACTGCATCCCGTCACGTGGCTCAGTTCATTGAGTGCTTTAAACAAAACAGAAAAGAGCTGACGAAAAAGAGAAGCTCAGGCTTCCATGCTGGGGGGAGGGAGGGTGTAGGACATCATAAAAGCCAGAGTGCTCTACCCTTAAAGGCTCAGATGATAAATAAAGCCAGAAGCCAGTGGACATAGGGCTGCTTAATATTCTTCTGCATTTTTAAATTAGCCAGAACTTCAGTTAGTTCACTTTCTTATTTGGGAGGAATTTATACTGCATTTCTACTTCTTTCCATTTATAGGCACCAGAAGGTCCACATGTAAAACTCAAAATGACCATTCATTGCTATGTTCAGATGTGGTTTCTCCCCCACCCACCCCAAATCACATGTAGAAATTTGGTTACCAAAGTTGAGTCTCAAGACCAGATCAGCTCTTATGGGAACAGATGAGTTCTTCAGAGAGTGGGTCGTTGTTATAAAGCAGCCCAGCTCCTTTGTGCCCTCCCTCTCTTTGCAGGTATTGCTTGCCCTTCTGCTTCCCATCATGACCTTGACAGCACAGGGGCAGGCCCTCACCGGAAGCTGAATAGATGCTGGCACCATGCTCTTGGCTTTCTAGTCACCAGAACTGTGAGTCAAAATGAACTCCTTTTTTTTTTTTTTTTTTTTTACTAACACCCAGTCTCAGATGTTCTGTGATAGCAACAGAAAATGGACTAAGATATTCACAGTATTTAAATCTCCAATTCAGTTGCACCCCTAAGCATTCTTGGAGTTGGAGCACTAAGAGAGTCAGATAACAGGCTGCCACCAGACTCTATGCCATGGTGAGATGGAAGCTTCATTCTCTACAGCTAATAACTAACTCAGAGTCCAGATGGCCCCAGGAGCCCCAGACATTTGCTGAGAAGCAAAAAACACTTTCTGCAATTTTCAGAGAGAAAGCGAACACAGAAAAGATCCCACACCCCTTGCTTCTGAACACGGAGACCATGGCCCTGATAGGAGGCCTCAGACCTGCACATTCCATTTCTCACCAGCCAAAGGGGCGGTGCTGAGGCCCTGCCTCCCTTTCATTGGAAATGAGCCGAAATTTCAGAATCTGTCCATTTCTTTTTTGAAAACAATTCACTTTCATTTTAGTTCAAAGATCTCAACTTAAAAATACTAATGTGTACCCTTCCCTTTCATTTTTATATAATTTTCTCTTTGGGGATAATGATTACCTAGTATTTTTTCCAGAATACATTTGTTGACACATGAGGATAATCTTGGCCCCTAAACATTACAAGGTGCTGCAGAAGATTCTGTGTGACCTTCTGACCCCAAACTCAAACTACGACACATACTCAATGGCCATCACCATATACGCCCTTGTCAAAGTCCCCAAACAAGATGCCCTTACCAAACGTGGCCTTACCTTTCCAAAGAAATGTTGAGTGGACACGGCCAAAGCATCAAAGCCACAGATGGCCCTCCTCAGCTCCCCCTGAATGAGGCCAAGCTGCCGGGCCTGCCGTTCACACCTGTCCTTCAGTCGCTGGACCAGCTGCCGCTCAGCCTCCCGGGCCTGCAGGTCAGGCTTGGGTGCAAACCCATTTCGAGGAACCACAGTCCTCTGCTTTGGGTAACCTATTTTTTAAAAAGAAAGATTCATTCAACACACATGTGACAACAGTTTCTTATAACAGAGTTCGTTAAGAACAAGTTTGGCAGAGAAAGAATTGCTGCAGTTTGCCATTTTAAGTATTAAAAAGAAAAGAGAATAAAAACCAGTCAAGGACTTAAATTATTCACTCTGTTTATGTGGTTCTAAGTGCAAAGTTTTATGCTTAGAAAAAGGATAACAGACAAAAATCACCAAATTCCTTCCAGCTTCTGACATTTCTCTTAGGCCTGCTTGGAAAGACTGAAGCAGGTGTTTTTCTTTCTTTTTTCTTTAAGAGGATTGATTGGACAAAGGAAAGACAGTGGAGTGAATCTGACATATGAAAACAACACAATGAATCCCACCACTGTGTACATCTGTAAGAATGGGATCCTAACTAGAGTAAGATATATTCCATGCTTGTATGATCATATCAAAATGGACTCGGCTGTCATGTTTAACTACAAAGAACCAATAAAAAATAAAAATAAAAAAGGGGATTGCTTTTAGAAAATGTCAAATGGGAAATTAATCAATTCATACAGATAGAAGTCAGACTCAGGAAACATAGCAACCTGGTCCTTGGGCCCCAGGTGGTAATCCCTCCATATTCCTTCCCTCCTTCAGATGGCTGCGCTAGTACCCTGCCTTCAGTGCCAGGTTCAAATCACAACCCAGATCTCCTCTGCTCCAAGGACTTCTGACTTTCAATTTCTACATAGCACCCATGTACTGGCAGGTCCCCTCCAATTTGTTCCCCAGTGTGACTTTGTGTCACCCTAATGGCTAAGAGTCTCGTCCTAGCCACACTCACCTTTCACGGTGCTTCTCATTCTTCCCTGCCCTGCAGCCGGAGTGACCTCTACAGACACAAGTTCGTCACCTGCATGGACTCCTTTGCTGCTCTCCACGGCAGTACAAGGAAAGCCCCCCTCCATGCCTACCCCACAAAGCCCCCCCCCCAGGCACATGTGGGAAGCTGTAGGACCAAGAAGAAGGAACCAGGAGCCCCACTTGGGACTGAGGGCTGGCATGGTGGCAGTGGGGAGAGGGGCACTAAGGAGAGATGACTTTTAGGCTAAACTTTGAAAGAAGAGAGACTCCAGGAGAGGGCACCGAGGAAACCAGTCCATTCTGAGCAAGGACCCCCAGGGGAGCAGGCGTCCTCCTGAAACCCCTGTCACACTGCTTAGACTCAGGCAAGCAGAAAGTCAATGGTCAGCCGTGGACTTACACCCAAAGGCTGTTCCTTCCTGTGCTCAAGTATTCACCCTTCTAGAGGACAGGACTCGGACACTGACCATCACGATCATGAATCACCTGCAATATTTCAAATGTTTCTTCTTCCTCTTTTGTCTTTTTCCCTTTCTTAAATATCAGGGAACAAACCATAAAACAAATGAGAAAATGATAGCCTCCTCAGTACCTGATAGGACACACGGGACAGTAATAGGCTCGTGAATACACAGGTGGCCTCATTTTTTTGAGGGGGAAAGTGGTTTATGGATCTGAATACTTCTGATTGCTCATTTAATGACAACCATGCTCATTTTCCCTAAATCTTCCTTCTGTTCCAAGTCATCAGAGATTGCAACACAATCTTACACACGACATATCTCAAATTCTTGGAATTTAATGGAATGGCAGGATATGAAAGTTTTGCTTCTGTTTTTATGAGATCAGAGTATATAATATTTCAGAAAATTCACGTGCATGTTATAGGCAAATCAATCTTTGTGTGTGCTTCATCTACACATTCTCAGTCCTAAATACAAGACTAACATAACCACCTAAAGACACAAAAAGTGTGGAATTTTACAGCCTACATTCAACTCTAAGACACAGTCTAAGACCTAAAGTAGATTTTTACCCCCCATAACTACTACTGTTTGTCATTTGGTTGTTGTGGCTGGTGAATTTATAAAACCCTTCAGGGCTTTAATTAATGCATCCAGGCCCCAGGTAGGTACCTGACACTGTCGCATGGAGGGTAGTTCTTTAAAGGAATGATAAAACTTGCTTCCAGCTCAGTGAATTAAAGCTAATTGCCACCTATATTTTATAGTGTCACCTTAGAGTATGTGGCCCTTAGAACTCTCACTGTCCTGAATTTTCAGCTGTCAGATTTGGTGCATCATAGTTGTACATAATGGTAGGAGTCATTGTTATATATATTTATACATGCACACAATATAACAATACAATTTGGCCAGTATCATTCCAGTGTTGAAGTCTTTAAAATGATTATTATCATTATCTTGATCATTGTTAATCATTAGGTTAGAACACATCCTTAATGGTAAATGGACAACATAAAAGGATTTCATAAAATCCCCTTATTGGCCTTTACTTTGACATTGTTGACATTATTATACTGCTTTTACTCACACTCAAAATTCTAGTGTTCTATGGAAAAACAGTGCAGTCAGCTGACATTTCTACTCCTGAGACCACCAAAAAGCTGGTGTTCTGAGCCAAGACAGAGGCTCCCAAAAGATCAACTTTTTGGATCAACACACCAAGCAGAAGTTGAACTGCTCTGGGACCCCCAACCACCTCGTGAAAACAATCCTTGTTTGGGAACCTTGTTAAATGGATCATCGTGCTCAGTGTCTTCTATAACATGACAAAGAGCCAGTCCCTAGAGCTAAGACTTTGGAAGAGCTGAGAAATGAACTTGGCTGTGAAGTTCTCTACTGATTTTTAGTTTAAAAGGGTCCAGTCATTTTCTAAATACAGTTGTTCTTCGCTGTTCACAGATTCTGCATCTGAGGATTCAACCAAATACAAATGGAGCTTCTTCCTCTTGTCAGTATTTCCTAAACAATGGAGTTGAACAGCTATTTACATAGCACTTATATTGTGTTAGATATTATAAATAATCTGGAGATGACAAAGTATACAGGAAGTTTGTGTAGGTCTTCTACAAATACTATGCCATTTTACATACAAGGACTTTGGTATCCAAGGGAATCCTGAAACCAATCCCCCCTGGATACAAAGGGAAGACTTTAGGTAAAATGTTACTTTTCCTCAGACAAATAATCATTTTTACTGTTGGAGACCCATTTTTACTGTTCACTGGAAACAAGATTTTTTAGAGTAAACTTAGCGTTAACTCCCTGAAGTATCATTCTGTCATCTGTTTTCCTGTCCCCAGGATGGTCCATAAAGACAGTGTCACAGGCTCCTTTGCCAGCGGGGGGAGAGACAGCTTGTGTGGGAAGTAGATGACAGACACCTAAGCAACCTCATCTGTGGCAAAAGAGGTGCTTCATTTTGCTTTCTTCTTTTGAAAGACAGCACAAAATGAGGAGAAAATGCCAATCTGCTGGGAAATACGGGGTTCATGGCACGACTAGAGGGTGGTGCTCTGAGCCAAGGCAGAGGCTCCCAAAGGATCAACTGGAGGGCGGTGGTCACCTGGAGCTCACAGACTGCATGGTGGGCAATGGGGTGAGAAGTGGTGATGGCCACTCACTCCCGACTCGGACAAATGCTTTTCTTGGAAGAGCTGCCACTCAGGCTTTAAAGGAGGGCATGCTGTGTCCCTGAAGACACCTCTACATGCTGGATCTTTGTCACCACCTCCTTCCCTGTTCTTTCAGGGTTTATGGTGCTTCTCCTAAGAGTCAAAAGCTGCCACACAGGCGGGTAGAGCCTGCTCATCTGGGCCTCGTCTCTTGCCAAGGAACCAAAGCTCTGGTCTCCTACAGTATCGTTCTCATTCCACCCAGTGGGACTAGGAAACTGAGCTTAGTGAATGAAGACCCTCAATGCAGGGCTTATCAATGGTTTTGAAGTCTTCGTTTTTTTTTCATATTTTTTCTTGGTGCATCATAGTTGTACATAATGGTAGGAGTCATTGTTACATATATTTATACATGCACACAATATAACAATACAGTTTGGCCAGTATCATTCCAGTGTTGAAGTCTTTAAATGAAGTGAAGAGTAGAAAGACCAGTTTTATATTGACTGGCTCTTGTACCCTTCTCAAATATTTTTAAATTTTAAATTTATTTTTAAGAGATGCATTAAAACATAAAAATTGTACATATTTATGGGGTGGGGGTACTATGTGGCTTTGTTTTGTTCTGTTTTACTTTTTAAGGAGCTGGGGATTGAACCCAAGGCCTTGTGCATGCTATGGAAGTGCTGTGTCCCTGAGCTCCACCCTCACCCTCCTGGATGTTTTCATGCAAACCTTGTCTAATGTCTGCATCAAGGTGAACACATTGTCTCTTCACACACTTATTTTTTTTTTTTTGTGGTAAAAACATACAAACTATTTTTTCTAGTTTTTTTGAAATAGATAGTACATTACTGTTATCTACAGTCATCTTACTGTACAACAGCACCCCAGAACTTCGTGCTCCTATTTAACAATAATGGTACCTATTAATCAACCTCTCCCCATCCTTCCCAGCCCCTTCTTTCTCCAGCCCCTTGGTAGCCACCATGCTCCTCTCAACGTCTTTGAGATCAACTGTTTTAGGTTCCACGTATGAATGAGATGATGTGGTGCCTGTCTTTCTGTTCCTGGCTTATTCCCTTTAACATAACGATCTCTAGTTCCTTCCACATCTTCTCCAATGACAGGATTTTATTCCTTTATAAGATTGACTAGTATTCCGTTTAAGTGTGCATGTATGTGCATGTGTATCACATTTTTAAAACTATTTATCAGTTGATTCCATATCTTTGCTATTGTAAGTAATGCTGCACCAAAAATGGCAATGCAGGTATCTCCTTGACACACTGATTTCATTTCTTTTGAGTATATATCTAGTAGTGGGATGGCTGGATCATATGGTAGTTCTATCTTTAGTTATTTGAGGAGCCCCCGTGCTGTTTTCCATAATGATGTACTAATTTACAATCATACCATCAATATGCAAGTGTTCCCTTTTCCTGTTAATGAGTCATATTCTCAAAGTACTGCTTTTGAATGAAATATAAAATGTACCAGTCCCTACAGACA